TGGCAATAAGTATGCAAGGGTGTGCATATGTATTTGTGTTTATGTCACAAACACACTCACAATAGCATAAATGACAATGTGTTGGTATACAATGTTCGGTTATAGCTCTGGCATATAAACTTTACATTGGCATTGTGTGTGTATGTGTCTCTTCATTTTATTACACAAGGATATACAAGGAAACAGGATATGCATGCATTCGCATGGAATTTTTTCCCGCTGTTTGTGTGTGTTTCCATAACATATCTTGCCACTGGCAACGAAGTAAGTAATAGCTGTCTACAAGCCTATTGCTCCCTGCTTATCTCTATATATCGTTCTCACACTGGGTAACGCCTGAAAGTGAGTGTGCAAATGCCAGCCCAGCTGAACATATGCAAAATTTTGTACACGCTTCGCTGCACGCCATCAATGCAAATGCATGCCTGAAACTTGCTCTGTACCACCTACATTTGATGCTTGCCACTTAATGACAAGTGCTTGAGAATAGAGAGAGAAATATATAAAAAATTCGTTTTTTTCTTTCAGTTTGGAGTTAAGCGTGAAAGTTTAAAAAGTCATCAGAATGAAGGAAGGAAAAAAGAAGAAATAGGCTAATTTTTCACAACAAGTAGATGAATGGAGATTTATTTGATTTTGATTTTTTTTAATCGTGGGATGGAAAGTGGAATAACTTGTTTGGTTTACACCTGGAATTTTAAAGCGTGTGGAAAAAACTTTGCTTGGGTTTGAGAGAAATTTATTTAAATAGGGAGCTATGTATGTTATAATCCCGCTAATAAATTTCTTATAATATGAATTTTTCGAACTTTATTTAAACATTTATTGAGAACAAAAATTGATTAGCTTAATATTTACGAAAATATAGATTGTTGGACTATGATATCCCAGCAAATTTAGTATGGTTTTTCATCAAGACAGCTTTTAGTAGATCTTGTAAAATTCCCTTCCACTACACCGGCAAGAGAATTTAGGAAATTATTAATTAATATGAATCCGGGTCGAGAAATTTATTTAAATAGGAAGCTATGTCTGTTATATTCAACACAATTATTTGATTATAATATATTTTTTTGAAATTTTGTTATATTTATTGAGAACAAAAATTGATTAGTTCAATATTTAATAAAAATAAACATTGCTGGAATGCAATTTCCCAGCTAAAGTAGTAGGCTCTTCATGAAGATGTTTCTTTAAGTTGATCTTTGAAAACTCCCATACACAAGACCTGGAAGAGATTCTATGGAATTATTAATTAATATGAATCCTGGCCGTGGGAATTTTTTGGAAATCCAAAAAATCGGCTGCCAATTACTTACGTACTTAGCTGACAAAACGTTCGTTCTATAAGCCGAGCTTAAAAAAAGATTTCCAGGCGCGTCGGTCTTTTGCGCAGTTTTTCCAATTTGAAAGACCATATTAGGCAATGTTGTCTTCTCGCCGTTTAATGCCAGACTCACTTTGGCAGACTCCTTCTCAATTTGTTCAAAGGTGGCTGTTACCGCTCTCAGTGTTCGATCCATTATGTCGATGTCATCGGTGTAGGCGAGTAACATGTTTTGTTTGGTGTACAGAGTGCCATTTCTGTTTACTTTTGGCTCTCGTATGACCTTTTCCAGCAGTATGTTAGAAAGGTCACACAACAAACTGTCACCTTGTCTGAATCCTCGTTCGCTATTAAAGTGCTCCGAGAGGTCCTTTCCGACTTTATCTGCTAATCTTGTGCCAGTTAAAGTTATCCTGCATAGCCGAATTAATTTTGCAGGAATGCCAAAAGCAGACATGGCTTTATACAACTCTGAACGGATAGGGCTGTCGAATGCGGCTTTATAGTCGACGAATATGTGGAATGGGTCGATGAGTTTTCGTGGATTTTTTTTCCAGGATTTGGTGCAGAATGAAAACCTGGTCAATGGTGAATTTGACAGGTCTGAAGCCAATGGTCTGTCATTGTCCATTGGCTTCAGTCGTTCACACAGTACGCTGGATAGCACTTTATATGCGATGGGAGAAGTCTTGTCTCCTTTTTTGCTCCCAATTGGTAGCCAATAATAATTTGCTTCAGCTCGTCTGTAAATCACTTTCTATAAATATTTATTGAGAACATATGTATTCTTTTTGGATTTGTGCCTCAAACGTAGAACATATTACAAAGCAAATATTACCTCTTGTTCATAAAATACCCGCAATTTATTTTAATAATCCTTGACATATTCTTAATTATTTTTACGGGACTTCATCAACGACTCTACTCAATATAATGTTTCCCGGCTTTAATCATATTATTCATAACTTTATTATTTCTCCGGGACCTCTTCTCTCGACTCAACTTAGTACAATATTTCCCGGGTTCCACGTAATTTTTAGAATTCATAAAATCTTTAAATTATCCTCCCGTTCGATTAAAACTGATAACATTTTTGGATAATATCAGGCGCAGTAAATAAAAAATTAGCAATACATTTCCCGGAGAGTGGAAGGGAGTCTTCAAAGATCAACCAAAAGCAAAATGTTTATTTGGAACCACATAATGTAAAATTTGATTGAAAAAATCTAGTCCTGAAATATCATTAGTTAATATTAGTGTTAGTAACTTTTAAACTAATCAATTTTTGTTCTCAATAAATTTGTAAAGACGTGTAAAATAACATAATTACAACTGGAAAGGACTGCAAATGAAATATTTGGCTGGAAAAATCCCAATTTTATAACGTTATTTTTAGCAATCAGTTTTTGTCCTCAACAAATATTTAATGACGTATAAAATTTTAGCTGAAAATATATTCTTTTTATTTTGTACAAAATCAGATCAGAATTTTTTGAGTTGTCTTGCTTCACATATGTATGATTCCTAATCCATCAAAGCTTAACGTTATCCTTCAGATCTATTAAAATTTATAATATGTTTGGATAATATCCAGAAAGAAAAAAAAAACACCAATCAAGCAAGGGGTTTATTTAGAGTCGCAAAATAAAAATGTTGGTAGAAAATTTTTGTAACTGAAATATTATTTGTAACTATTAAACTAATCAATTTTTGTTCTCAATAAATTTGTAAACACGCGTAAAATAATTTGTAAGATTTTTTTCAGGTTTCCTAATATTACAACTGTGGACTAGGCAATTAATATCCACAAGCTTTTTCTATTAGATTTCATCAGATATTCAGCTTTCCACAATATGTCGGGTCAGGAAATCAATAAATAGTCATTCAAAAAATCTCGTGTGCCAGCAAACCTTGAAGCCTAAGGAAATTGAGAAACGAACAGAACAACTTACTCTCAATTTTCAGGTAATTATTTTATAATTGCAGAAGTAGAACTACCAGCTTCAGTTCATCTTTAAATAGAATTTTAGTTAGTGTTTAAAAACTCTTAAGAATTTTACCTTAGGTACTCTGAGCATTTCCCCTCATCTATGGATGGACACCCTAAAGATTTCACAATGTCGATAAATAGTGCCTTAGGATATTTGTTACCCTATAAAATATCCCTTGGCATTTAGGTACGCATTAAAAGTTTTTAAGATGAATCTGCTTTAGCTTTACATAACCATTCCCTAGTCTTAAGATCATCTTATAAATACTTCTTGAAGTTTTCAACTCTCCTATAAAAAGTCGCTGGACTTTTGAGCTAGTGCATAAGCCCGCTTCCATCAGTTTGTCTATAAAGAGTCTACAATATATTCTGGACATACATACGGACAAACATGTAATTGATAAATTCATTGAGAACAAAAATTGATGATTTACATAGAAAATTTTTGGTTTTTATACCCTACACAACTATGTTGTCAGGGTATTATAGCTTTGTGCAGCCCCAAGAGTTTGTAACGCCGCGAAATATTGGTCCTAGACCCACCTTTAAGTATACCGATCGTCATATCTCGACTAGCTGAGTCGATCTAGACATGTGTGTCCGTCCGTCTGTCCATTATATTTTGTAAACCCGATACAGGCCACAGTTATGGACCAATCTTCACGAAATTTTGCATGTAGGATGGGTTCTGGCCAATGAAGACCCCTATTGTTTTTGGTAAAGATCGGTTAATATCTAGGCGATGAAATGGACCAAATACTTAATTTTATCGCTTTTTCTGGTCGCTCTAGAGGCCGAAATTATGACCCAAACATCGCGAATTTGTACATAGAGAAGACATCGGGCCAAAGAATAAGCATGCCTGTTTTGATAAGGATCGGTCAATATTTAGCGGGTCAAATGGACTCTGACTTTTGTGTGAAAAATTACAAAATTTGTATTCTATAGCGTATAGATTTACCCCTGAAGGGCTTAGACCCGAAACGTTTTTGGTATATTCAAGGGCAGTGGTTGATCTTTAAATTGATACCAATTATATGGACGTATGTACTCAGATGTGGGAGTTACACTTAAATATTTACAGGTGCTTATGTATTCAGATATTATTTAGTTACCCTTTATCACACTAGAGGGCGGAAATATAGCGCTGATCGCTTCAAAACGTTCCATGAAGTTCCAATTATAGTCAAGGATAACTCCTAGAATTTTCGGTGACGATCAGATAATTATATTGTGATGAAGTGGACCAAAAACATAATTTTTTGTGTTTTTTTCGAGTCGATCTATAGGCTCCAATGGGAATAAGAAGATCACAACACAAGGGAAGGGAATCTGGACAAGTAATGAAAAAGGCTGCACTGAACATTAGTAATAATTGTAGGTCTCTAGTTGGTCCAGATGGTTCAAATATCGCGAAATATTGCCCAAGCTCAGAATATAGATCCACAGAAAGTTAGTTTTTCGTGGAAGTTGTGTAGGGTATCATATGGTCGGCCCGTCCGACTATACTGCTCCGCTCACTGGTTAGATCTTAATTCCGTTTCAAAAATGCCTACTGGCCTTTTAACATTTATTGAGAACAAAAATTGATTCACAATTTATATTCCGTGGTATTTTTTTACTGGTGACGATATATTTTTCTAAAATATAACTTTATTTACAAAGAGTACCGATAAATGAATTTCAATGTTTGCCATAGCCTAAGCCAAATAGCTTTTGTGTGGCACAGAGGGCACCCAAACTGACATCTTCCATTTTGAATTGTATTAAAATGACAATAAAAGCAAATACCATTAGAACCATCTGCAAAGAGAGAGAAAATTGTTAATATTTTTTAGAAGCAGTTATTTCTGTATCGATGTTACCTTTCCAAAATTACAAAAATTAATATCCAAAAAATTATTGCAGGAAAATTTTAATTTTTGATGCAATAATTGCAGGGAAAATTCTCTTAGGCTGTTGTTAAGTACAGAGTTTTGATTGCGAAATTTACAGTTGTGCAGTATGGATTGGATGGATTGATACTGAAATGAAATAAAATGGAAAAAATAATTTTATAGTTATTATGGAATACATTAATCAGTTTTTGTTCTCAATAAATTTTCAAAATAAATGTTCAAAATTTTTATTGTCACACTGATTCTTGTAAAAATTCTTTTAAAAATGTCAGGTATATTGTAGCCTAGTAATTGTTAAAAACATATTTTTGAAACCCCCAAATAACTTTTTAGCCAAAAAATATTTGTCTATTTTTAATGCCACGAGTATGAATGATGTTTCATAAGGTTCCTGTCAAAAATACAAATTTTAGGCCTAAGAAATTGAAAAAAAAAAATATTTTTAAAACCTTCAAACTAGTAGCTGACCTTGCGAAAAGAAATTTTAAAAACTTTACACAGCTTTACCCGCACAGACAATTTAAAAAAAAAATAGTACTTTTAAAAATATCAAAGTCACTGCCTCGCAGGACCTTGCGACAAGATTTTTAAAAGCTAAAACATTGTCTAATGAAAGAATTTTATGGAAACTATAAAATGTAAAGATAACTGTGTTGAACATAAAATTCTCTTGGGAAGAATACATTAATCGATTTTTGTTCTCAATAAATTTTAAATGATCCTGTCTTCAATTCCTCGTTTCCTCACAGAGTCTTAAAAATATTTTTTAAAATTTCAGGCTAATTTTTTTCGCTCGGAAATTGGTAAAACATTTTTTTAACACAATTCGTATTAGTTCCACATAACTTTGAAAAAAATATTTGAATTCTTAAAAGCTAAACTATTATTTCCACACAGGAACTTGAGACAACATTTTTAAATACTGAAACATTGTGGTATATTATAAAAATTCAAATGCAAAAAATGCATTAAAAATTAATTCCTCTTTCTAGAAAAAAATACTCACTTTTTGTGCTCAATAAATTATGGACGAACATGTGTACAATTTCTTACTTTCCTGCAGTATCTTCTAAAAATATTTTCAAAATTTCAGGCTTATTGTTGATCAGAAATTGGTAAAAATATGTTTAAAAACTTAAAGCTTATGGACGCACAGAACTTTTAAAAAATAACTATAAAAAATATTTCATTTCATTTTAAAAACCGAAACATTTTTGAATTGTGGGCCGGTTAAAATATAAAGAAAGCGGCGTGTAATGCAAAATCCTCGTTAGAAAATTACGTTAATCAATTTTTGTTCTCAATAAATTACTGCCAAAAAGGGACTAGTTAACAATAATTATACACCTGGGTGAATTTTTTAAAAATTCACGCTTTTGGCACTGGATGACATCCTCGTTAGAAAAATACTTTAATCAATTTTTGTTCTCAATAAAATATTGCCAAAAAAAGGGACATGAAAACAATAGTTATAGAAATTTGTAAAAATATTTAAAGAAATCTAGGCTTTAACCCACCCAATCTAGGCTTTAACCAACCCACGGAAAAATCAACCGATCTGAGATTTTCTCTAAATCAAATTTGCTGCTTCATTAATAAATATTAAAAAAAGTTTGCATTTATAGCTCTACTGTAAGTATTTTCCATAATACCATTTCGTGGCTTATTGGGGTGTATGATTTGTGTCGTTACTAATACGATCAGGAACACAAAATTGAAAAACATACATATGACAGCTTACCTTATCCACACATTTTTCGGCATAGTAGCACACCAGGAAAATATTTAAAAATAATATAAAAATATATGAATATCGAACTGGAAAAGAAAAGAAGAGAACATGAAAAAAATAAGAAGAAAAACAAGATATTTTTTGTTCCACTTACGTGTTTGAGTTATATACTTCGGCTCATAAATTATACGCAAATAAGCCCAGTTGACCGTATAGACAATACATAGACCATTGTGTAGGAATAGCAGAAAAATCGGAGCAGCAAAATAGCGATCAAACCTTTCAACCAGAAACCATGTTTTATTCAATTGTTGTTGGCATTTTATCAAACGTTGAATTATTGGCCAGCAACCTATAGCGCTTTTAGGAATTTGCATATTCTCTAAATTCGAATAAATCCGATGAATAATATCATAAATAATCTGTAGATAAATCATATATTCTACACATTTCATTTGCAAAGCGGCTAGGAAAAATGAATTGCAAAGTTTACCCAATGTTGGCATATCACTGGCTATAATGACATAACTTGAATACATAATCGAGATAATGAGGACAATTATCCAAATTCCAGAGTTGCGCAAAAGTTTCCATTTTAGAGATAATGTTTCCTTCAATCCGAAATCCTTAGAATTTAACTCTTGCTCCAATTCTTTGAATAATTTCAAAATTCCCTTAAGTTGTTGCATTTCAAATAAAGTTTTCATTTCAATGCAGGCCATTAACAGGGTAATACCTCCATGATGAAGATAACTAATAATTCGTGTAATACTATCCAATTTATGACGATACACAGCTCCATTAACAATTCGATTATGTATGTGAGTGGTGAAAATGGCCAAAGAGAAGAGCAGCACACAATATTTGATATAAATTATGCGAAGTAATTTCCTTTTAAATGATCTCTGGGTTCCATAATATAAACATGGCGGCAGATTGATACCAAATATTGTAAATATCCATTGATAGAATTTTAATAAATTTAAATAATTTGTTGCAAAGTTCCGTTTTCTATTTGTAATCGCCAACATTGTTGAAAGGTTCTAATGAAATGTGTGGCATTATTTGTTTCAGCCTGGTTAAGATATTTTGCGAGGAGATATATGTTTTAGACATGACTAATTGCTTGTGATTAATGAATACAGGGTGCTACAAAAAAACATTAGCCCAAATAGCGTATACATGGTGACAACACTTATACGCAACAATGTTTCATGGAAATAATGGCTTAGAATAAAGATATGACGATATAATTTTTAATATTTTTAAATAGAAATTCTTTTCTATTTTTCCTTTATATATTTCAAAAATTTTAATTTTTTTTTGAATGACGGAAACATTTTATCGATTCTTTCAATTTAAATACTTTGTTTTCTTTATAAATTAATATTTTTCTTTTAAATTTCATATTTTCTTAGTTTTTTAATTAGTATTCAAATTGTGCAAAAAGTATAATAAGAAATTAATTGAAATAAAATTTTTCCCCATATTTTTTAAAACGCCTCGCCTATTGTTGCACAGAATCATGCAAAAATATGTAAAGAAAGAATTGTGATATACAAAATCCTCATTTGAAAAATACATTAATCAATTTTTGTTCTCAATAAATTTACAAACAAAAAAAAAAACATATTTTCGTCTCCTTACTGTCAAACCGGAACCAGAATAAAATACTTATAGAACCATGTTATAAAAAATCCTCGTTAGAAAAATACTTTAATCAAATTTTGTTCTCAATAAATGTATAAAAAATATTATAATTTCCTTACTGCCAAACAGGAAATAATAAAAATTATTATAGACCCAGGTGGACTTTGATAAAATATTTTAAACAGTCTACGATTTGCCTCGAATCTAAGGGCAAAAAATCCACCGATCTGAGTTTTTCTCCAAATCAAATTTGTTGTGTCTCTTATGTATATTGAAAAATGTTAACATTTATAGTTCTGGTGGAAGTAATATCATTTAATGTCATCATTCAAATAGCATTTCAAATTGTGAAGAAAGTAGAAAAGAAATGAATTAAAATAAATTACAATTTATATACATTATTTTTTGTATTCTCGTTTTTACACTAATAAATTTTTGTTCTCAATAAATTTAAAATAGAAAATATAATTGTCGCACAGAATCTTGCAAAGACTTGTCTTAAATGTTTTGCTCTTATTTCGTCTATAGTCGCACCCATGGCACAATAAATAGGTAGTTCATTTAGAGCATCTGATGTCTCGATTAACTGTCAAAGTGCGTAATTTCTACTTGAATTCCATGTTCAGTGTTGCCAACCATGTGAAATATTATAAGGAAAAAATTGACAGATAATCGAGACAAAAACAGAGGTTTTTGTTTTGATGCATCACCTTATTATTGCATCTTGGTTGCACCGAACCATGCAAACACATTCGTCAAAGTTTTTTTCTTAATTATAATAATTACTATTAAAATGGTGAAGAAGAAAGTAGAATAAAAAATGAATTGCAATAAAATTATTATCTATATAAAGAAAACCGTGTGCAATACAAAATCAATTCTTGTTCTCAATAAATTTAAAAAGAAAATATTTTGTGTTTATTGTCAAAAAGAACTCTGTAAAAATATTTGAAAATCACAAAAAATAAACTTCTAAAAAAAATTTCAAAATCTTGTAGCCACAAAATATTTTATAAAAAAATACTAGTACTTAAATAAATAAAAATCTTTTACAGGTAGATTTCGTAAAAAAAAATTAAACAGCACACCTTGCAAAAAACCTCACTAAATGTTTTACGCTTATAGTCCTTGTAGAAATATTTTTAAATGTCTATTAAATGCCCTTCTAAAAATATTTTTTAAAAACTTATAGCCAGTTTGTCCCTTTTTAATCCGTCCATTAATTCTTCCCTACTGTCAAATAGTCTATAAAAACTCCCAGAAGTCATCAGTCCGATAAAAAGCCCATCTCCTTCAGTTTGTCTATAAAAAGTCTGGAATATCTTCTGTACATTCGTGCGGACAATAATGCCATTAAAAATTTATTGAGAACAAAAGATGATTGACTTAAAAATTACATTGGGTTTGAAGAGCGAAATAGATTAAGAAAATGAATTGAAATAAAATGATTGTCCAGGCAGATTTTGCGAAATTCATTTTTTAACCGCACGTTAATTGTCACAGAGAACCTTGCGAAGAGTTCTCTTAAATGTTTTGCGCTTATAGCCACAAAGGACCTTGTAAAAATTATTCTTTAAAGGACGTTATAAAAGATTTTTTGAAAAACTTATAGCCAGTTTTGTCCCTGCTTTATCTTCCCTAAAGACTTTCCTAGTCTCAAATGGTCTATAAAAACTCCCAGAAGTTATATGTTCTTCTATAAAGAGTCGCTAAGCATTTCAGATAGTGTATAAGCCCATCTGGACTTGCGATGGACAAAAACTTCATTGAAAAATTTATTGAGAACAAAAGTTGATTGGCTTGAAAATTACATTGGGTTTGAAGATTAAGAAAATGAATTGATTCAAATTATTGTCCAGGTAAGTTTTATAAAAATATTTTTTAACACACAGAACTTTTCAAAAAATTTTGTTAAAAGTTTTGTCCTTTGTAGTAACAAGGGATCTTGTAAAAATATGTTTAAACCTCAACAAACAACCTTATAAAGATACTTTTAAAAACTTATAGCCAGATTGTACCTGCTTAACCAGGCTTCTCTAGTGTCAAATAGTCCATAATAACTCCCAGAAGTTAGCTATTCATCTATAAAGCGTCGCTAAGAATTTCAGATAGTGTATAAGGCCCCATCCAGTTTGTCTATAGAAAAGTCTAGAATATCTTCTGAACAAGATTAGGGCATTTATTAAGAACAAAAGTTGATTGGTGTAAAAATTATATTGGATTTAAGAGGAAAGTAGAATAGGAAAAAATTTATTGACAAAAAGTATTGTCCAGGTAGATTTTTTTTAACTTTAGGCTTATTGTTGCATAGAACTCTGCAGAAATTTGTCATAAAAGATTTGCGCTTATGGCCCTTATACAAACATTTTTAAAACTTAAAAAACTTTACACTGGGAAATCAATTTTGTAAGAATATTTTTCAGAACGTATCGCCTATTGTCGCACAAAAATATATTGTGTTACACAAAATCCTCATCAGAAAAATACATTAATCAATTTTTGTTCTCAATAAATTAAAAAAAAAATCAAGGCCAGTTTTCATCTCTACATTTTGTAAACATATTAGAAGTTTCACTTAAAAAATTAAATATTTAATTTTTTCTAACAGCCCTAAGTTTTAAGTACATTTACACTCACGATTCGATCAGATTTAGTAAATCCAAATCTGCAGCCTAAGCATGGCACAATAGATTGGTACTCCATTTAGCGCAGCTGACTATCCGATTAACTGTCAAAGTGCAACGTTTCTACCAAGGCATATAAAAAAGATCATCCAGGGAAACCAGCTACATATCAGCTGCTTCTCGTGTCTGCTGTCAAAATCCATTATTGTTAATTTGCTTCCATTATGAAAACGTAAACGACGTACACATTTTTCGACATTAGACTTGAGAAAAAAACAGCTGACTTCTTGATTTTGGTTTCTATTTGAATACGACATACAATGTTGCCAACCATGTGAAATATTACTAGATAAAATTTGACATGTCGATGTCTAGATACAATTTGAAATATCGATGTATTTGTTTTGAACGTTTACACACATCTTTTATCATGATCTAAATTATAATCAGCTGATAACTGTTTAAAGACATACTATAGGTGAGTTAAGATATGACTTCTACATCGACTCGATGTTGTTGTAAACGGGGTTTAAATCTTTAACATTTTGCGTAAAATATGTTTTTTTGAATTTATATATTCTTCTTAACATTATTTGTAATAAACACTTACTTCCCCTGCTACAAGGTGCTCAAACAAAACCACATCTTTTAGCAAAATAACTTTCATTCCCTACCATTCAAATGTGAAAAATCCAATGCAGTTTGCAACCACAACATCATTCATTAATTAATGTATACATGAGAAATTCAATATTCGTCTTTTGGTATTAAAATAAATACAATTGAAATATTTCACATAATGGAAAGTAAAATACATAAATAAGTAGTAAATATTTTCATGTTGGTTTGGTTGTTAATTATTATAATAAAAAATGATGCCAATGGCAATTTTAATTGTTAAGAAATTTATTGATTTCCAATGTGTTTTATAAACAAAAATATATACACGTGGTTTAATTATTACAAGGTATGACATAGCGATCAACTGATTAAAATTTTTCTCGCAAATGTATTGTTTTAAATACCATGTCAAATAAATTAAATTTAATTATAATTAATATCAAATTGCAACAAACATTTCATCGTATGCTCTACAAGATTTTAGTAAGAAATCATAACCTTTCATTTATTGTTCGCGTATTATTATTTGACAGAAGAAGCCACAACCTTGATAGTTGATTTTTTTGTTATTCACCTCATGTTGTCGTACCTCTTATTATTATTATAATTATACCATGGTAGAGTTTATTTTCAGTTTATTTTTTTTTTTTTAATTTGAAAGGATTTGATGTATCAAAATAAAAACATGGGCTTTTTTTATTTTGATCATCTGTCAAATTTTATCTAGTAATAATTCTCATGGTTGGCAACATTGCACGTCGTTTTCAAGTAGAAACTATGCATCATGATGCAATAATAAGGTGATGTATCACAACAAAAATCTTTGTTTTTGTCTCGACCATCTGTCAAAATTTTCCTTATAACATTTCACATGGTTGGCAACACTTCACATCGAATTCAAGTAGAAATTATGCACTTTAACAGTTTATCGAGACATCAGCTGCTGTAAGTGGACTACCTATTTATTGTGCCATGCTATGCACCAATGCAGATTTAATAAGGTAACCCTATCAGCTCAGCAGTTGGTGCAAATAAATGACAACAAAGTTGTTGATAGTCAAAACCAAATAAAATAAAAAATAGAAAATAATGAAAATCTCCGAATATTGAAGAGCTTGTTCAACAATACATTTATTTACATTTTACGAATAAATTTGTTTAAAAAATCTTATGAATCGGTTTGCTGCGCTAAATGGTCTATTAATAAGATCACTCAGGTAGCGAAAGTCAGCTGTTTTTTCTCAAGTCTAACGTCATTTCATTATGGAAGTCAATACACAATTATAGATTTTGACAGCAAACTTGAGAGGCCGCTGATATCCAGCTGGTATTCCTGAATGAGCTTATTAATAGACTTATGCACTATGGCACTTAATTGGATAGACAGCTGCGCTAAATGGAGTACCTAATTAATGGGCAATGAGTGAACGCAAATGCGCGTTTAGACTACAGCTTTTATCGTGATATGCTAAATTGAGATAATTTCAAATACAACCCTGCTGTTGCATCCAAAATATAATTACTTCTCCTTTAAGTATGATACAAAATACGTTGTAATTCAAAATATTTGTCTAACAGAAATATGACAGCTGATGAAAAAATCACAATTTGTTTTAATTTATAATGAATATTAACAGAATTAAAAACTACAAATGATTTTATAGCTTAATCGGAATGTACACTAGAACTTTTTCATAGGGTTAACCTACTTTATGAGGATTTATTTGACATATATGCAAAGAAATTGACAATTGAAACCCACTGGGTTAACGAAATCCGGTTAAATATAAACGTACTATTATTGACCTAATTGAAAATATTGATTGAAAAATTGCCACAGAAATACTGAAACCTGTGAAATGTGTATGTATACGTAAACAAATAACAGCTGGTAAATCAACTTTATATCATTTGAATACTAGTCTATAACGGCATTCAACCTACTTTATGGGAACTTAAACAACATGTACATTAGAACTTTTTACCGGGTTAACCTACTTTATGCGGATTTCTTTGACATAAATGCAAAACCACTGTGTTATCGAAATCCAGTACAATGCCAATTAAGTATTATTTGAAATATATACCATGAAACTGACAATTTAAACCCACTGGGTAACGAAATCCGTACAATGTAAACGTACTATAAACAGTTAGGATTTAGTATCTCGATTAACAACTCGAATCGATTTAGAAAGACACAGTCTAAAAACGCCTTAAGTGAGGTGGGATTTTCTGCAATTAAAATTGCGCAGTGTAAATTATCTACATATTTTATTAAAAATATATATTTAAATATTAGGTTTTTTGTTCAGTGTAATCAGCTGATTTAATGGAATAGTGCATGGCACAATAAATAGGTACCTCACTTAGCCCGGCTGACGATACGATTAAATGTCAAACAACAACAACAATGTGAATTATTACTAGAAAAAAATTTACAGATGTTCGGGACAAAAACAAATGTTTTTGTATTTGATACATCACCTTATTATTGCATCATGGAATGGAGTTATTTATTAAAATGTATTGCCGCGTTGATTAAATCTGGCATAAAAAATCTAATAAACCCTTCAGTAAATTATCAATTTTATTAAAAATATATTTGTTTTTTTTTTGTCTAGAGTAATCAGCTGATTCAATGAAATGCAGGTAAATTATAAAAATGTATGCACGTATTGATTAAATCTGACAAGGTTCATCTTATCTCATCATTGCTTACACATCATGGTGGCGTATACGCAATGGAATTGACATTTGAGTGGATTTAGTAGTCTAAACGTAGCCTATATATTCTATTAAACCAGAATAAATAGATGTTAATAAGTATAAATAGATGAAAATAGGAACGTAAACAAACATCAGCTGATTCGACAATGTATGATGTATTCCGGAAAGTTGATCTTGAATAATATAAAAATTCTATTAAACCCTTCAATAAATTATCTATTTTATTAAAAATACATTCAAGAGCATTTTTCCAGTGTCATCAGCTGATAAGTAAATTATAAAAATGTGTTTCCGTATTGATTAAATCTGACTAGGTTCATCTCAGATAATATAAATATTCAGTAAGTTATCTAATTAATATTGCCCAGTATAAATAGATGTAAATACGTACCCAAACAAACATCAGCTGATTCGATGAAATGTATTTCGTATTGATTAAATCTGTCAAGGTTAATCTTGAATAATATAAAAATTATATTAAAACCTTCAATAAATTACATAGCTATTTTATTAAAATTAGGTTTTAAAATGTTTAGTTTTTTGTCCAGTGTAATCAGCTGATTGACGTATTTATTAAATCTGACAAAGATAATCTTGAATAATATAAAAAAAAAATATTAAAGCCTTCAGTAAAATATCTAACTAATATTGTCCAGTATAAATAGAAGTAAATACGTACAAACATCAGCTGATTCAATGAAATGTTGATAAATTAATAAGATTTATACCCGAAATTAGTAAAACTGACAAAGTTAATTTTGAATAATATACAAATTATATTCAATAAATGATCTATTTTATTAAAAATATATTTTAAAATATTTGTTTTATTGACCAATGTAATCAGCTGATTCAGTAGAATGTAGGTACCATGATGCAATAATAAAGTGATGTATCAAAAACAAAAAACATTTGTTTTTGTCTCGATTGTCTGTCAAAATTTTCCTTATAATATTTCAAATGGTAGGCAATACTGCACATCGAATTCAAGCAGAAATTACCCACTTTGACAGCTAATCGAGACATCAACTGTGCTAAATGGACTACCTATTCATTGTGCCATGGTAGGTACATTATAAAAATGTATTCCCGTATTGTTTAAATCTGACATGGTTAATATTGAATAATATAAACCCCTATTAACCCATTCAGTAAATGATCTATTATATTTAAAATATTTTTTTTTTGCAAGTGCAATCAGCTGATTCAATGGGATGCAGGTAAGTCATATAATCAGCTGATTCAGTGGAATGTTTGTACATTATAAAAGTGTATTCCCATATTGATTAAAGCTGACAAGGTTGAAAATATTCCCCAGTATAAATATGTGTGAATATTTACGTAAACAAACATCAGCTGATTCGATGCAATGTAAGTAATTATCAAGATTTCTTTCCGAATTTATTTAAATCTGACGACATAATATAAAAAAAATGTTATAAAATAATAATATAAAACTCCTATTAAACCCTTCAATAAATAATTTATTTTATTAAAAAATATATTTTAAAAAATATTTGTTCCATTTTTTTGTCCAGTGTAAATCCAATTGACCTCATTATTAATGTATACAACTCATTTCTTATAAAATTTATATCTACGTTTAGATCTTTTTCAGTGCTAAATATTGGTCACACGAGTTGTCAGTCATTATTTGAAACTAGCTGAAACAACAACAACAGTTTACAACGGCCGAAAAAAATGCATAATTTCAAAACTCGGGAATATTTGAAAATAGTAAAATTCTACCAATGGATATTTTGTATATTCGGTATAAATCTACCACCAATATTTTATTGTGATAATTTTCATGGATTTCGGCGAAAATTTATTATGACAATTTACAGCGTATATGCTTTCATACTATTTAGTGTTGCCACCATTTCAAATTGCATACATAATACATTGGCCCATCAATTTACCCAAATGCATCGATTGGATTGTATTACTGAACTGCTGAGCTATGGTCATAATATTGGTTTAATTTTGGCATATGGAATTATGGAAGTTGCAATGTTTTGGCAACGCAATAATCTAAAGGAAATTTTAAGAGAAATCGATGAAATGGAAAATGAACTATTTAATGAAATTAACCAACAAAATGGATCCAAAAAATTCCAATTATTTTACATAACTGGTATTTGGTTAATATTTTCATCGGTAAATTTCTCTTACCTAACCTATTTCTTAACCGGTGCCGAAGTTATGCCCATATGCTATAAATGTATTATATCCCTATATGTGGTTGCCATTGAAATGAAATATTTGGAATATCGTTTGTATGTACAAATTATATGCCATTTAATGGAGGGCATATGCATTGCATTGGAAAGGATAAAATCTCAGATGGAACAATTTCGAAGACCAGAACATGGACGTTTGCCATATTTTATGATCCAACAATTGTTACGAAATCAACAGCTGTTGAATAGGTTATGGCTTGTGGTGTATAAAGTGAATGTGTATTTTGCATTGCCACTTGCATTGGTATGCTGTCAAAATGGCATTGCCATATTGTTTACGGTGAATTGGGCATATGTTCGTAGTTTGTTTGAACATGGCGAGACTAATCAAATATGTAAGTTGAATAAAAAACATGTCACACTGAATAGGTACTCCATTTAGCCCAGCTGACTATTCGATTAACTGTCTATCTGATTAACATAGGTTCTATCAAGATCTATTAATAAGGTCACCCAGTTAGCGAAATTGCATTCAGCTGTTATTTTCAAATCTAATGTCAAAAAATGTGGACTTTGTTTACGTTTTCATAATGGAAGACAATTCACAATAATAGATTTTGACAGCAAACTTGAGAGGCAGCTGGCATCCGTGGACAACCATATTTATAGGCCTTGGTTTCTACCATGGCGCAATAAAAAGGTACTCTATTTAGTGCAGCTGACTATCCCTCTAACTGTCAAAGTGCATAGCTTCTACGATGATGCAATAATAAGGTGATGTATCAAAACAAAAACCGTTGTTTTTTGTCTCGATCATCTGTCAAATTTTTCCTTATAATATTTTTATATGGTTGGGAACACTGTACATCGAATTCAAGTAGAAGTTACCCAATTTGACAGTTAATCAAGACATCAGTTGCGCTAAATGGACTACCTATTCATTGTGCCATGGCTTCTACTATGATCTATTAATAAGTTCACCCAGCTGGCGAATGTCAGTCTGTTAATTCTCAAGTCTAAGTGGACTTTGTTTACGTTTTCGTAATGAAAATCAATTCACAATAAAATATTTTGACAATAAACCTGAGAGTCAGCTGATATACAGCTGGACGATCTTAGGGTACGTTTAGACTATTAAATCCACTCAATCTCAAATGTCAATTCCATTGCGTATACGTCGCGTTAATCCTGTTCACAAATCCAGTGGATTATATTTGACGTATAAGCAATGGAATTGACATTTGAGATCGAGTGGATTTCGTAAATCTAAACGTACAAAAATCTATGTTTTTGCCTCGATCATCTGTCAAATTTTTCCATATAATATTTCAAATGGTTGGCAACGCTGCACATCGAATTCAAGTAGAAATTACCCACTTTGACAGTTAATCAAGACATCAGCTGCTCTAAATGGACTACCTATTCATTGTGCCATGGTTTCTACCATGATGTAATAATTATGTGATGTATCATAACAACAACCTTTGTTTTTGTCTCGATCATCTGTCAAATTTTTCCTTATAATATTTTACATGGTTGGCAACATTGCAAGTCGAATTTAAGTAGAAATTACGCACTTTGACAAGTAATCGAGACATCAGCTGCGCTAGATGGACTACTTATTTATTGTGCCTTGTTTTCTACCATGGCACAATAAAATGGAGTACCTACCATTTAGCATAGCTAACTATCCGACTAACTGTCAAAGTGTATAGTTTCTCCATTGCATAATAAATGGGCAGCCCATTTATCACAGCTGACGATTCGATTAACTGTCAAAGTTCGTAGTTTCTCATTGAATTCGTTGTGCAATGTTGCCAACCATGAAAAATATTACTAGATAAAATTTGACAGATAAATTGCAAATTTACTAAAAATTCGTTTTGGTAAGCGTTTTGTTAAAACAAGTATAATGTAAATGCAATACCAATGAATGTTTTTTTTTGTTTTTGAAAAACTAAATTTATTTAATTTATTACATCTAAAAAGAAATCCTTCTCATTTACTCTTGCCTTTGAAGAATATAAAATCCAATTAGCCAGTGAAATGTGTATTTATACGTAAACAAATAACAGCTGACTGTAAACTTTATATCATTTTAATACTAAACGCTTTCTAAAACGTCAAATAAATGACATATCTCTATAAATCCCGTAGGTGTCGGAACGTAGAGCATTTTTAATATAAAAAAATATTTTAAAAATGTCTATCTAATATTTTAATCCCCTTAATTATCTTTCTTCCTTTTATTACAGTTCGTTTTGTTTACATAATTTTGTTGCTGTTAAACATAGTTTACATTTGTAATTATACGGAAAAATGTATGAAAAAGGTAGGTAGCAATTTTTTTTACAATTAGGTTTTAAATTTACAATTAAATTTTAAAAATAATTAAAAATTTTCTTTTGTTTTCAGTATCATTCTTTGTCAACTGTATTAAACAATTTCAAATTACATCCGCAAGATGTTGAGGTTAGGATGCACTTGCGGGAATACTCTTTACAATTGATGCATCAGAAGTTGAAGTTTACTTGTAATTATTTTTTGGATATTGATTACAAGACACTGGGAAAGGTAATTACAAATTTTATTTAAAGTTTTTTTTCTTTGGAGAGATTTTTTATTTGGTTAACGTTTTTTTAGGTTTAACGAAAGTGGAAGAACGAAATCCACTTGATTTCAGTAGTAGTCTCATTTGAGAATTTTATGATGGCAACCCTTTTCAATTTTGAACTCATCTATCAATTTTAAATAATATGAAAAATAAATTGCATAAAATTCTACGTATGCCTATTGACATTTTTTTAAATAAATTAAACAAGATATATTTTCTAAAGCTGGGAATTGCTCTTAAATCTTATCTTATCTTATGCCATGTTTGTTACACCTTAAACGGCATATACATTAGAACATTTTACCGGGTTAACCTACTTTATGAGGATTTATTTGACATATATGCAAAGGGATTGACAATTGAAAACCACTGGGTGAACGAAATCCGATTAAATGTAAACGTACTATTATATTTATAAGTTGTAGGGGCAGGGACCTTCAAAATATTTATAAATATAAATTATTTAACAATTTTTGCCACTGAACAAATGATATGCGTACATTTCGAAGGAAGATATTTTCATATTAATTTTGAAAGCTGAATGCTGTCACAGGCGAATTTATGAAAAAATTGGAAACAAATGACTGCATAAGACTATCTTGTATAATTATGTCATGTGTCAATTCCATAGAATAAAATAAATCACATTCAAATAAGTCCTGTGGATATAACAATAAAGCCATATCAATCAGCTGATCGAACCAAACATATGGAAATCAATGTATTCGACTGCTACTTCACAATTAATCGTATACATTTATTTGAAAGATGTATTAATAAGGTCACCCAGTTAGCGAAAATCAGCTGTTTCTTCTCTTCTCAGGTCAAATATCAAAGAATTGACTTTTGTTTACGTTTTCATAATGGAAGTCAATTCAAACTAAAGATGCAGCTGATCTCCCTGGACGACTTTATTTATAGGCCGTTTTGATTTCCACAGATTTGGTTCGATCAGCTGATTGGCTTTTTGGTTATGTCATAATAAGTTTTACCTTTAGAATAGAGATCAATTTACTTCGATTTACCCTACAAAATTAAATCCGCTCATTATCCCTGAAGATGATTTCAAATACAACACTGATTTAGCAGAAAAAATAATCACTTTTCCTAAAATTCAAGATAGTTGCCTAACAAAAATATGATAGCTGATGATAAATTATTTTAATTTCTCGTGAATAGTGAATAATTTTGGTATTGCCAGAGAAATGATGAAACTAGTGAAATGTGTATGTATACGTTAACAAATAATAGCTGATAAATCAATTTTATGTCATATAAAATTTCTACCCACATGAAATATTTGTTCTGTTCCGGTACTTTTTTAATAGGAAAGCTGGTAAAAGGGAAACATTTCAAAATCGATCTCAGAATACAAATTAATTTGAAAAGTTCTGGAACGCAAATCTAGTAAATATGCCAAAATTAAATGGCAATACTTCAAAACCAACATAACAGCCAATCAGAAGTAGGCATTCCTGTTTACCATTTTTACTCGGCCAAATTTATCAAGTAAAAAGTTTACAAAGAGAACGCCATTTTGTTTTATTCTCTCTAAAATTTGATTCAATGTTTTAGCAGTTTTGTGGGTTCAGGAACGGGTTTCGAATAAAAAATTGCAAAATTTGTAAAATTAGTAGATTTTTTAGGTTCTGGAAAGGAACTATAGTCTAATTAGATAGTATTTATAGTAGGTTTACATTGTACCAGATTTCGTTAACCCAGTGGATTTCAAATGTCAATTCCATTGTATACATGACAAATATATTCTCATAGAGTAGGTTAACCCCGAAAATAGTTCCAATGTAAATGCCGTTTTAATATCACTATTTACAAATCGAGTCGATTTAGAAGGCATCAGAGTGTAAACGCACCTACTTCGAATTCAAGTAGAAATTACGCACTTTGACAGTTAATCGAGACATCAGCTGCTCTAAATGGACTACCTATTTATTGTGCCATGACTGCCAAAGTGCGTAGTTTATATTCGAATTCGATATGTACTGTTGGCAACCATGAGATATATTACTAGATAAAATATGACAAATGGTCGGGTAAAAAAACAAATGTTTTTTTATACATCACCTTATTATTGCATAATGGTAAAAATATGGAATTGACATTAGAGATCAAGTGGATTTCTTTATTCAACACGTACATTAGCCTCTCTTACCTTCGGCTTTGGAATATTATCTATATCGTTATTAAACAAATGACATGTTCCATAAAAAAATTGATGTAAATGTACCAATAATGTCAAATAATTTTTGGTTTCTTTTTTTCAGATTATCCTGGCTGTTACATCCTTTATGATCATATTAATACAATTCAAAATGACAAATGGCACAACAGGTGCCATAGTTGCCACACAGAGAATATTTGGCTTTGGCAAATTGAAATTGTAAACCGTTCGCAGTGAATTACATTAAGCTATTAAGAGTCTAAACGCAACCAAAGAGTCTAGAGTCAGCGACAGTCGTTTGCCGTGTGTTTATTTGTGGCAACGGGAAATCGCGACGACTGACGTTTGCGTCTAGCGGCTTGACGCTAGAATAGATTTTATACATTTTTGCTAAGCGTCATACAAATTTGCTCTCAATTGAGTTTCCATATTTTAGGTAAAAATCAACAGTGCTACCAAATTTCAATGAGAATTTATATCAAAACATATGGCAGTGCTGTTAAAAAAAAAACAAATATTTTCAAAGATTGTGGACTTTTTTTTAACGAATTAATAATAAAATGAAAGAAAAATAATTTTTTCAATAATTTTCACCAAGTTCCTTGACCTTATTGTTTATTAAATAATAAATTGATTTTGGTTTGCACAACGTATAATACTCTGTCAGAAAAGGAAAATAAATAATTGACATTTTGTGCCGCTAACTCTTTCGTTTGGTTTTCACGCCGGCGAAAAAGTATGACGCTGACTCGTGACTCTCTGGTTGCGTTTAGACTCTTATACTGTATTATGCTATATTTACATCGGAAATATTTTTTTTATTGGCATTATATATTTATTTGACATATATAAATTAGAAAAAAAGAACACAACAAAAGAAGAATAACAAATGTTTTATAATTCAACAACAAAGTGGAAAAGTTTAAACAAATTGAGGAAGTATATCCTTAATGTTAAGACTAGTATTAATATGATATCAGCTGACCAGCAGATTGATCAGCTGATATTTGTTTACAGATGCATACACATGTAATTGATTTCATTTTAATTTAAAATGGATAGTTTTAAAACATAATTTATTTAAAAATATTTTCCTCCATTTAAACTAAGGTTTCATATTTAATTTTAATAACAAACATATCACAAATTTTCACCACATTAACGTTTTAAATCTACAAATTATGACCCACCAAGTTGTTTAAGTAAGAGTTATTTTAAATCAATTAGAACAAATAATAATCTCTGAAAAACTTTAACACTCATTGTCATTGTAAAAACTACAGAAAAAAGAACTCAATCCTTTTCTACTACTTTCTTATATTATCTATCTATCTACGGTATAATAGAAAAATAAAACTTTTTTGTGTTTTTTCACTATCAGCAGCAACGACAAGTTAACTGACTTACTTTTTTTTTGCTTGTAACTTTAGTCTGTGCTATATTTTTTTGGCAATTGTGGCGGTGGTTAAGTAACCACAGCTTGGGTTCATTCTATGTCCTAAAGGCGTTTTAGTATCTGTTCTTATTTTTTTTAATTGAAAAATTATAAAAAGTTTAGAAAGTTTTATGTGGGTGTTAAAGATTATCTACAGCCACAAACGATGTGATGCTTTTGTTTTATTTTATGTGGGGACAAGAAAATAAAAAATGAAACTGAAAAATTTGTGTTAAATATAAGAATTAGCACAATTAACGGGGAGAAATTTAATGGGGAATTAAATTTTAATGGAATTATTAATTTAATTAGTGTATTTTAGGATAAAGATCTATTAATAATGACATTAATAATGTCACCCAGTTAGCGAAAGTCAGCTGTTCTTTCTCAAATCTAATTTCGAATGTTTGGACTTTGTTTACGTTTTCATAATGGAAATCAATTCACAATAATCGATTCTGACAGCAAACTTGAGAAACTCCTGATATCCAGCTGGTTTACCTGGATGACCTTAACCAAATGATATTTGTTTTCAATAGTTGTCAAATGAACGTAAAAAAAGTAAGAACCAAAATAAAATAAAGTGTTTAGCAGGAATTTGAGGTGAATTTTATTTACTTTCCAAACGACCCCGACATTGCTGAAACATTTAAATCATTATTTACTTACCTTTTTCAAATTTCAAACAAATTTTCCGTTCTTTTTATTTAGTATATACACAAACAAACATCAGCTGATTGTCATTTAGATCAAAATCATGTGCATGACACAATAAATAGGTACTCAATTTATTGCAGCTGACTATCCGATTAACTGTCAAAGTGCATAGCTTCTACTTGAATTCGACGTGCAATGTTGCTAACTATGAGAAATATTACTAAATAAAATCTGACAGATGGTCGAATAAAAAACAGAGGTTTTTGGATGCTCTTTGGTGTGGCGGAAAAAGGCGAAGAGCTCAATCCAAAGAATACTCGGAAAACAGTAAAGCTCGGAGGGGGTGGAGTAATGACATAGGGATGCATGTCAGCAGCTGGTGTTGGCAATTTGATATTCATTGAGGAAATAATGAATAAAACAGTTTACACGAATATTTTGAAACAAAATTTGAATCAAAGTGCTGAAAAACTCAACATTCGTGATAATTATTACTACCAACAGGACAATGATCCAAAACAAACTGCTATTAACGTTAAGAATTAGATCGTATACAATACACCACACATGCTGATAATACCTCCGCACAGTCCCGATTTAAATCCGATTGAGCACCTATGGTCATCTAAATAAACGAATCCGAAATCATACAATTTCCAGTAAGGCCCAACTCACGGAAATACTTGTGACAGAATGGGGGTAAAATATCGTTGGACTACACTAAAAAAAACTTGTATACTCAATGCCCGAACGATTGAATGATGTTTTAAAACTCAAGGGATATCCTACCAAGTATTGGGTAAGTCAATTTAATTGTAAAAATTAAGTAATTTTAAATAATTCATTATTTTTCTCCACTTATTCTGTGCAAAAATATGGACTTTTCACTTTTCACTTGTTTTAATAAAAAAATGAAATATTACATTAATTTGTTGTAGTATAGAATTGAATACATGAAATAAAAATATATATTTGAAAATTTGTGAATTACTTTTTGAGGAATTACCGAATATTTTTTGATTTGTATGGGGTACCATGACTGCTCACTGTACACAAACAAACATCAGCTGATTGTCACCAAGTAAACATGCTTCGATTGAGACCGTGATGCAATAATAGGGTGATGTATCAAAACACAAATCTTTGTTTCTGTCTCGATTATCCAATGGTTGGCAACACTGCACATCGAATTCAAGTGGAAATTACCCACATTGACAGTTAATCGAGACATCAGCTGCGCTATATGGACTACCTATTCATTGTACAATGATTGAGACAAATAGCTGTCAAAAATGTGTGAAAACCAAAAGATTAAAAAAAAATATGAATGAAAATCTCCGAATTTTGAAGAAGGTACTACTTTTATTTCCATAGTACCTTCTCCAAAATTCAGGGATTTTCATTCATATTTTTTAATCTTTTGGTTTTTCATATTTTTGACAACTATTTGTACCAACAACTGGGTTGATGCGGCTACCTTATTAAGTCTCCCTTGGTCTCAATTGAATCAAGGTGCAAATGTACAGGTCCGTATTTCAGAGGTCTATAATTAGGAACCCAATGCAAAATATATTTTTTCGTCATTTGAGACTTGTAACATTTCTGTTCCTATAAATGTATTTGTTGTTGTTGAGAACAATTTAAATTTTAAGGAAATGAAACGTCGAAAAATTTGTTTTGACAATTTATTTCACAAACAATAAAGAAAAGAGTTTAAAACCATATGATTGTCACTTACACCTTATTAAATACGCCTTGAATCGAATCATGTGTACATGGTGACACATGGCTTAACGAGACCAAATATTAACAATATGTTAATTTTTGCCACTGAACCAAGGTATTGAAGGAGGATATTATCATTTAAATTATGAAAACTGAATGTTATCTAATGTAAAATTATGAATAATTGGAATCATATGTATGTATGAGATTACCCTGTATAATTATGCGATGTATTAAAATGTTATGTTTACGGCGAATTCACATTTCCTTCTCGGCATGACAACAAACATTATTCAACTGTTATACAACATACCATAGCATGTTTACATGAAATGTATACAGCAAATGTTGCCGTAGGCGTCGCAACAAATTCCTGAATGTTCGTAAACATGCTACAAGACATCTAGGCAACAAGCTCTATGTTGGAATGTTGCCATAGGAAATGTGAATCCTGTCGAACATTTGAAAAACATGTTTAGAGGCCAAACATGTTTAAGGACAAAAAATGATAAAAAATTAGAAACATTTTCGAAAGACAACATGTTCTTATTAGCTAGCCCTTTTATTCATAGTAAATACAATGTTATTAAGGTAGGATATCCTTCGACCAATATATGAAAAATATAACTCTACAAGTCGTTCTGTTCATTTGACATATTTTAATAAAAAAAAACACGAAAAAAGTGTGGAACGACAGGTTTAGTTTGTTATGTTCCACCTAATGTGGCGCTGTGGTTTTAAGGCCAGCCAGCTCAGTAGCCATCTCTGGGGAGGTTCTCAACCCTTATCCATCAGCCCGAGAGGACAAACAAGTAAATATTTCGAATTGATACACAAGACATAGAAACACTACTCTTACAAAAAGAAACACGATACACCATCAACAAGGAAGCTTGGTGTTGATGCTTCCACACAGTGCCCACCCAACCTTGAACCTTAAAATCCAAAATTTATAACATCTATAAGGGCCCCTGATCCTCCACACTTACCACACGCGATGACTTGTACTAACTTTCCCCTCTTTCTAATAAATTTAGCACTTCATTTTTAAATTCTTAACATTTACGTTACATTCATCCAAGGCTTGCCTTATTTAACAATCCCGAAATTTTCTGCCTGGTGGAATGTTGGCAGGTGGTGCACCAGGGGATTTTTGGCACTTTTTGGATCTTCTGTGGCGGTATTTTGAGGATCACACAATTTTTCCCCAAGAGAATTTTCATTGGCCCCCTTTTTAGAAATTGGATATGGAGGCCAACCATCAAATTTTGCACAGAGTGCCTTTGGATTGGTAGAGATAAACAAATTCCCGCACACACACATACAAATAAAATTGAAATATAAAAAAAACTTTGTTTTATTTTTTTGGGTAACCCTTTTGTTCTTTGGTCGCTTTTTGGTTTTTT